ACGCAGGTGCGGCCACGAAGACAGAGGGAGAGAGAGAGAGAGAAACTTTGACTCACGTAGTCCTGAGTCTTACCGTGAAGTTCCTTTTACGTCTAGGATGCAGGGAGCAGAGTTCATCGGTCACTTCCAGTCCTTTAATCAGGGTCAGCATTTCTGCCTGGAGGACTTTGCAGATCGATTGAACCTACTGACGGTCTTCCTTTTTCTCATCTCTAATGTGATCATCTCGACAAAACAGTATGTCTTCAACTTTATCTCCTGTTATACGCCGGTGGAACCTTCTGGTGGACAGTTCAGGGACTACGTCTCCAACTTCTGTTGGGTGCATGGAACAATACCCTTTCGACTCAATGAATCACTACCATCCACGGATGCAGAATGGGATCTCTACGACAAGCACAGGCGCATTAGTAAGTTTGGGTCTATTTTAAGGGAATAATCTGAGACCAGCAGAGTTAGAGACAGAAGATGTGAGGCCGCGTTAACTGTGAACACACCGTCGCATTGGTATCAGTTAATATCCGTTTTTTTCAGTAGGCCATCACGGAAAAATGATTCTCCCCGATTCAGCGGATATTCTGAAAACTCAAGCTAAAAATGGCAAACATTTGTAGTCCTGTGTAGGTTATTCATTAATAGTGATCGAGTTCTGAATCCGAATCGTTTGCAAATGCCTGTCTGCCGTAAAAGTGAGTTGCAAAGTTGAATGCTGGATGTTTTTAAGCTCCCTTCATGGTTTTTTTCTTTACGATCTTATAAATATAGCAGAAGAAGCCGGAACACAGTTTCTTGAGATGTAAGCAACCTACACACAGAAGAACCATAGGCCGCATACACGGCATCATCAACCTACAGTTTTGATCGGGAATAGAATAAAGCGTATCAATGAATTACATGATACGCCATAGTGACAGCACAGGTATTAGTTAAAAGACCAGACATCTCTTGCGAGGGATTTGTCTCGGCTTTCAGTCTATCCCAAGTTAGCGATTAATTTCTGAGGAATCAAGAAGTTAAAAGCTGGCGTATCTACCATACGCCACATAAAGAACGCTGGGGGGACATTGGTAAGCCAAAGGTCTCGCAGCTGTGTCCTGAGTGGCAACAAATTTGGTTAAGACGTGTCTGGGCTTATACAGTACGCACCAGAATTCGTGCAACATGCCGACATCTGCGAAAGATTGATAATATTTCGCTAATTGGCATTGAGTAAGGTTT